CATCATTAATCAAAGCATTTTTAACCTACCTTACTAAACTAAAAGGGTTCTCCATCATGGTACAATAATGAAAGCATGTTGTTTAACCTAACTTACTAATAGTAAAATGATTCTCCATCATGGTGCGATATTGAAAGCATGGTGTTTAACCTACCTTACTAAAAGGGTCTCCATCATTAATCAAAGCATGTTGTTTAACCTAACTTACTAAACTAAAAGGGTTCTCCATCATGGTGCAATAATGAAAGCATACCATTTAACCTACCTTACTAAAAGGATCCTCCATCATAGTGTGATTAGTTTGGATAGTTGGAGGAGTGGTTGGCATATCATCCAAGTTCACATGAAATAAGTAAAAAGTAAAACCAAATAGAGCAGGTCCAATTCCATTACACAGACCTCTGATGCCTGTAATGATACCCTGTACAACACCTACAAAATGAACAATAAGAAATCCTATCATGCTATAGATAGACAAGAAAGGACTCTAAAATAGCATGGATTATATATACTGTACTTTTAGTACCCACTCAACAACTGGCTATCACAAATCCACCATTCTTAGACCTAGCTTATTGTTGTACCCAGGGATCCTTCTCAGTTTCCCAATGGAAAATTGAAGGCTTTGGTTGCAGACATATGATTGGCTAAAAAATTCCCATGAACCGCTATGGTATGATTCTTGGTCTTCTGGTATTGTCTCTGACCAGAGTTAGTTAATTCTCCACTGGGTAACCAAGAAAGGATTGGGTACAAGAATGAGAGCATGCTTAGTACAGCCTCAAGAGCTATTAGGGACTGTTCATTAAATATGCCTCAGGGTGGTCTGGAGGAAAAGTAAAAAAAAAAAAAAAAAATTCAAAAAATTTGCAGCCCGCCTTTCTCTATCACAATATTTTTTGGAGCCCCCCTCCCTTCTGACATTGAGGAAAAATAGCTGCYTCCCCCCCACCACCATGTGTATAAAGCGATGTAAAATAGCTAGTCTTAAAACTTTAAAAGGAGTCACAAAAAAGATATTGAATGCTTATGTAATTAGACTTCTATATATTGGCTAAATGCAATTTAAGTTAAACTCGAGGCCTGTTTCCCATAGCTTACAGGGGCACGTTGTGTCTTCATGTGTTGTTGCRCGCACTAAGTTGCTCTGTGTTGTTTTGATTCCCAACCCACCCTCCTCTTTGGTAAGTATACAATTAGCTTAGTATCCTCCATTGACTCTGTCAATGTGACTTGTGCCAGGTGYCATGGTTGTGTTACCATGGTTACTTCCTGGTCATGTCCGGTGGCRCGCTGGCATGACCAATTTGTGGCACATATTTCCACACTCATAGAGTTTAAAAAAAGAAAGTAAAGTTGTTGCTTAAAATGATCATTGATAAGAAATGTATAAGAAAAAAAAAAACATTTTACATACTTTAATTTTGTGTTTCAACCCCCCCCCCTTCAAGTCAGCAAATGCCATTAAAGCCCCCCTTCATTGTCTGTTTATTTTTCAAAGCCCCCCTACGTTTCCTCCARYCCCCCTCAGGTATGATTAATGAACAGTCCCTTAATCTGTAGTTCACTCTACCTTACGGTCTAACTATACCTTGTTGATCAGGGTCKGCATTACATGAGACAAGAGCACTTATTGCAGGATAGGTGATCATGGCAACAGATGCTAATGATCCTGCAGCCCACATCATCCTGTCAATCAAATAGTAATGCTGGTATCATAACATCATGATGACAATGAAGTAAAATAATGTTTTTAGAAACAATTATTTTCGTGTCACACTTTTGCTGTGAATAATGTCTTTCATTAATTTAAAATTGGGAGAGGAGACTGAGGGATGGAAGGGATTATTTGGCTTTTTGAACATCCCTTTCCAAGGCAAAACAAAAATGTACATTACTTAAGATCTCTATTAGAGTGCATATGACACAAATTTTTTTTATTTTCAATTGAAAATTTTTTAACTCCGATTTTCTATGAAATTTGAAGCCCTGCATCAAGTGGTAATTAGCCAAGCTGTTATTTGTGTTCTATTGACTCCATTTTTCCAAATAAAAAAATTCGTGTCATATGCACTTTAAGTATTTTCCATAAATATCAGAGTTCCTGCCAAGTGAATAGAATGCATGAGCAACCAAATTTACCATATGAATCATTTAAACATGATAAACAGATAATATATATATTTATAAAACTCATTAATATTCATATGGCAAAACACAATAGAAATCATAGCCCATGAAGAGAGTTGTATATTACATACAGATCGCCCGCTCATATTGTATATATTACATATTACTCACCAGCGGTGTGTACCCAGTCCATACCAAGATAATTGTAACAGTTGAAATATTAATCCTACTATAACTGAGTTTTTAAGTCCTATAGTCTTCTTTAGACAGGTCAGTACTAGTGTCTGAAAACATAATGTTAACAGCTGTAACACACACTAGGCAGATCAAATCCATGTATCCTTGGATACTACTAACAACAAACACTTGGCTGATGACTTCATTCTTACCTGAGCAATGACTGACAATATACCTAGAACAGCTATGAATGTTGCTACGTCTTCTGATGAAAAGTGGATCACCTTAAAAGGGAAACAAAACAAATAAAACTACAGCAAGAAACTACAATCATAGACACTCTTGACCTTCCACCTGCAGGACAACATCATGTAAATTCAATGATAGTTAAACCGATAACATGTACAAGGGCAGATCAAGTTGAAATTTTAGGGGGGGGGGGGGGGGATAAATGGGCTTTATTTGTTACACACAGCATTGAAAATAATAAAAAAAACAGTTAACTTTTCTATGATCAGAGGGGGGCCACAGCACCTCTTTACCCCTCCCTGGATAAGCCCTTGATATATAATGTGTAAATAACAGCCAAAATGCATTGTAATAACCCATGTAAAAGTGTTCATAATACTGTATTCTATATAACACAGGTAGCCCACAGGAAAGAGACTACTTGATATGACTGTCTAACCTGTTTTAAGTAGAGGAACATTGAAGAGTACTGTCCAGCCTCTGGTAGGTATGACAGGAACACAGTTAATGATAGAAGTAGTACGGTGGGGTCTTGACCAACTTTACGTAAAGACTGAACATAAAAAAACATTGATATAAGTAATGGGTTAACTCAAAGGCAATGGTTTTGTGTTAAGTAATCTTCTGTCCAAAACATGGTTTTCATTATAACAAGGCAGATCAAAGATTTTACTCARAAAGAGCAGGGTGCTTTYGTAACAAAATGACAGCAAAAATGTCTTAGRACATAAACATCAAAGCAATGAACTTTTAGCACCACAATAAAATTTGTGAAAATAATAAAAATATTCAATAACCATCAAATTCAAGATGAAACATTGYTTTTSATGATATTGTCAATGAAGCCGTCCACYRATCTGCCCATGATGATGGTGATAATGATGGTGATTACTCACAGCAAAAGGGTCAGCTTGTTCCCATGATATTGGTGCACCCCAGGAGGCTGGTCTGATTCTCTCTGGTAGTGATTCTGGTACAGCTACTAATATAAACAATATATCTAACGATGCTACGGCTGTTGCCAGCGCAACAACAAAGTTATCGTTGTAAGTACTGCCTAGAAAGGCACCTAACGCAGGACTGATAATGAGACTTGCTGCAAATGTAGCTGATACCTGAAAAGAAAAAKARMAATCTTWAGAATATAAATGAGACCAGGCAGTGTTGATGGAAGKGACAGTGTGAAGATTCATGTATTACAGTCATAATATCAAGGACAATGTTGACATCACAATTAAATACAATACCGTTGTCAGTAAAACAGGAAATGATTTTCACAAAAAATACTTGTATTGGTGAGTTACTCTAATCTAGAATAATAAAGCTGAGAAAGAGAAAGCTAACAAGATAGCTGCTAAAATAGTTCAATTCTATTTTGTGAATATAATTGAATTGAATTCTTTTATTTCTTACTGTRTATTGTCAACTTCATTARTGATTCATAARGTRAACACAATGGAAAATCATTGTCGTGACTGCATTCTTTATATGAGCAAGAGATTTGTCCTGATTTGCATATAACTTAAACCTGATTTTATAATATTTTATCTTGAAGTTCTTAGCAAGATTTGCTTTAGCTTATGTTGGAATTTGATAAGCAAACATTTGTGTCCGACCTTTATGGGCTTTAAAACTGCTCGCTTGCAGCTTACAATTTTAAATGTCCATAAATCAAAACTATTAAATAGTAATTCACACCAAATATTTCATAGGTAACAACAAGAGATGATGTCAATGATGACGGTGATGACATACCAGTCCATAGGCTGTACTTCTCTCATTCTCATCAGTACAGTCAGCAACATAGGCAAACACAATGGAGAACGTTACAGAGAAGATACCAGACACAGAGATCATAGCAAAGAACCACCTATAATGGAGTATCRTAGATTGAAATACTGACTGCAGTCTACTTTCAAACACAGGAAAACCATAAAATAATTAATAATTTGTCAGTATCAATGAACCAGAATGCAATCAAGATGAATCCACATGAGACTAATTTATTGTGCGACAAAGAACATACCATGAAATCGATACAAATCGATAAACCATGAATCGATACAAATCAGCAAAATCAAAAATAGTTTCATGTGGATTGATCTTGATACTGATACTATTTGTTAGTATTTAGTTTAGTTTTATTTCATGGTTTYCCTGTGTCTTCTCTAAAACGAGACCTTTAACAAAGCTAGCAATTGAACCAGTAAATAATAATAAATATGTAAAGAGATGAGTGAATGACATGGTGGKGTAATCCAGATATTTTTATTGTGTTATTTTTTATTTTTCATCACCTGAACGAGAACATTAAGAGTTCAATAYTTTGAGCTGAAGAACTGTGACAAAATTAGCTTTTTRTACAAAGTTTAGATTCATTGAGGTCTAGTTCACCTCAACAATTATAGGATTTCTTTATGAAAAAAACTGGCATCAAAACTTTTAGTTTTTCACTCAAATGATAAAACATAKTGATTCCTAACCAAAGAAAATGATATACTTACCATGGGTTAAAACGAAGCAGAGGTATCGGTGAACAGGTGAAGAATACAGTCAGTAATAAAAATGACTTTCTTCCCCACACATCTGATAAAGCACCAAGTAATGGCGCACTTAAAAATGATAAGATTCCCTAGAGAGAAATAAAATATGTACTGGAATGAATAAAATGACCCATTTTATATGAAATACTAAGGGTTTAATGATACAAATGATACAAATACCCTCCAGGTAGAGGATCAGGGGAATCAAAATTGAAATCTTCATTATCAATGAGTATATTATCCTAAAATTAAGATAAACGTCAAATATTTCTTTGATGAGTTTTGGATTCATTTTAATA